ATCCGAAGGGAAGAAACACAGTTTACTGGATCCCTGGATCCAGGCCACGGCCCCATGGCTGAAAGCAGCTGTGGAGAAAGTTGTTGAGGTGGAACTACACTGAAGACAGTGATCGAACCACAGCTGTCCGGGAGCCCCAGGAAATGGGGCCTCAATCCTAAAACCACTCCTGCCTGGGCAGGTAGCCAGCCAGATCTTTAACAATGCAAATCCCATCATATCACTTAAGGTCTTGGGGCTTCTGGACGCTTAAAAGAAAGCCCAGGGAGCCCATGACCAAAGCTGCTACAATCAGAGCAATGAAACAATGAAGTATTAGATTATGACCCACAGAATAAAACAAAGATCCAGGAGTCCACGCAGATCTAAATACATGATTGAATAACAAATGGAAGAGACAAATCTCCAGTGCAGAAGAACTCTAATAATTTCTGTAGATGCTCTGCCCTAACAGAGGAGGAGGGCAACTCTTCACCCCTTAAGTGTGTACGTAGTAACTTTCTTCCACAGACTGTAGTACTGAAAGGGGTTAAAAAAAAAAAAAAAAAAAAAGGAACTTGACCAGGCCCGGCGGCTCACGCCTGTAATCCCAGCACTGTGGGAGGCTGAGGCGGGAGGATCACTTGAGGTTGGGAGCTTGGCCAACATGGTGAAACCCTGACTCCACTACAAATACAAAAATTAGCTGGGTGTGGTGGCAGGAGCCTGTCATTCCAGCTACTCGGGAGGCTGAGGCAGGAGAATTGCTTGAGCCTCAGGGGCAGAGATTGCCGTAAGTGGAGATCGCACCACTGGACTCTAGCCTGGGCAACAGAGGGAGACTCTGTCTCAATTAAATAAAAAAGTAACTGTACAGTGGAGACACCCAACAAACATGACCTCAGCCAAGCAACTGAGGTCAATGTCAGCAGTGTATGTCATGATGATGGTATCCACCCTTGACAGGATGTGATGTAAATGGCACTTGATCTCTGTCCTTCCTCCCAAAACCCACAGGCCCGGTCCAATCATGAGAAGAGCATCAGGCAAATTCCAATAGTGGGGCATTCTACAAAATACCTGACCAGAACTCCTCCAAACTGTCAAGGTCACCAAAAACAAGGCAAGTCTAAGAAGAAACTGCCACAGCCAAGAGGCAGCTACAGAAACAAAATGGAAATGTGGTATCCTGGATGGGATCCAGGAACAGAAAACGGACGTTAGAGAAAAACTAAGGAAACGTGTATCAACTATTGTCTGAGTCCATTTTCTATTGCTTATAACAGAATACCTGAAACTGGATGACTTATTAAGAAAAGCAGTTGATTTCTTACAGTTACGGAGTCTGAGAAGTCAAAGGTCAAGGGGCTGCATCTGGTGAGGGCCTTCTTGCTGGTGGGGACTCTGCAGAGTCTGAAGGTGGTGCAGGGCATCCTATAATGAGGGGGCTGGGCGAGCTGGCTCAGGTCTTTCTTCCTCTTCCTATAAAGCCACCAGTCCTACTCCCATAATAACCCAGCAATCCATTAATCCATGAATGGATCAACCCATTCATGAGTGCAGAGCTTCATGACCCAATCGCCTCTTAAAGGCCTCACCTCTCAATACTGCCATGTTGGGGGTTAAGTTTCAACACGAGTTTTGGAGGCAACAAATACTCAAACCATAGCAACCATAGACTTTAATTATTATAATAAAGATGTATCAATATATCAATAACGATTTTTTTTTTTTTTGAGACAGAGCCTTGCTCTGTTACCCAGGCTGGAGTACGATGGCACAATCTTGGCTCACTGCAACCTCTACCACCCAGGTTCAAGCGATTCTTGTGCCTCAGTCTCCCAAGTAGCTAAGATTACAGGCCCTGCCACCACGCCCAGCTAATGTTTTTGTATTTTTCATAGAGACAGGGTTTCACCATGTTGGCCAGGCTGGTCTTGAACTCCTGACCTCATGTGATCTGCCCAGTTTGGCCTCCCAAAGTTCTGGGATTACAGGCCTGAGTCACCACACCCAACCAATAATGGTTTATTAATTGTACCAAATTACCTTACTATCATTAAGATGTTAATAACAGAAACTGTGTTATAGATAAATAGGAACTTTTGACCCTGTCTTCTCTTTCTGTAAATCTAAACTATTATTTTTAAAAATCTATTAATAAAAAAATTCTATCAAAGGAAACAAAAGATGAAGGCCTCAGTCCTTCCTGCCACCCACTGTATGGCAGCCACCTGGCCCTGCCCACTGGGCCACCTTGCTCTCCTTTCAACTGGGCTCCCCTGCTCTGCCTTCTCTTCCCTCAGGGTCCATGCATGTGCTGTTCCTCCTCAGCAATATCTATTCTCTCCCCAGCATGTTCAGCACCCCCAGCCCATGCATAAACACAGTCAGCTTAAGCTCTCAGTTACTTCCCTGGGAAGCCATCCTCAGCTACCCAGACTAAGTGAGGTTGTGGGTCACATCCACCCAGGGTGCTGCACTTCTCCCCCAGTAACTGATCGCGCCACGTCTGTCTTCTCCGGCACTGGATGCTCCTCAAGGGCAGGAAGGTGCCTGTCTTCCAGACCTCTGTGTCCTGTCCCTAACACAGTGATTGGCCCAGAGGAACCCCAAGTTCATGCTGCTGAATGCTCAGATGTGTAAATTAATGAAAGTCAGAAGCAACCCACATACAGCAGGCTGCAGGCCTAAAGGTGAGATCACCCAGTGTGCCCTCTATGACAGGTTGAGAGCTGTGAGCCCAGCTGACCTCAGGAATGAAGGACACAGAGCAAATGGGTACCATTTGTGCCTGCTGGTACCAGGAGGCATCAGGGATGCTCTCGGAGCCCAAGACTGCAACAGCAAAAGGTCTGGAGGTTGATGTTTTTATTTTAGATTTCATCAGAAATCTACTCTAGCCCTTGGATAAGCTTCTTTAAA